AGGGGGTGATTACAAAAGTATATATATTTACATACATTGTTTTTGAGATAAAACTCAGAAACCAAACATATGGTGAGCATCACAACAGCGCAGGCGAAGAATATAATGGCGGCCACTTTGGCCGACGGCGAGACCGCAATCGATATAATCATAAACAGCGAGGCTATTGTGCCGCTCATATTCATGCCTATTGTGACGGCGTTGGGGTAGCCCATGGGCAGTTTGGCCGCCGCCCCGTATACGCAGCCCTGGTATACACCGTTGGCAACGTTGATGACTGCGGCCGAAAGCATTGTGACCCAGAAAAATATGTCCGGCCATCCGGTGCTGTCAATCACTGCCAGTATTATTGTAAAGACAAATACCAGCGATTGTACAATAAGTGTGACTGATATGCGTATGGATAGTGAGCCATATCTGTGGGTAATATAATTTTAATTATGGTAAAAATTTAAAGTTTATTTTTACTTTTATATTAAATTAATTTTTTATTTACAACATTTTTATTTTTGCAAAATAATTCCAAATGATTATAAATATAATTATCTGATATTTATTAATTTCTCAATTGATTTTAATTTAATAGAAACTAAGTGGTGGATATTTCAATGGAAAGATATTGAAGTTTTATTTATTTTATTAATATTCTTAATTGATACTGTAATAAGAATAAATAGGTCATAAACATTAGATAATACAATATTTCCACTGTATTGTAGTATCCGTACTAAATCTATTAGTTGTTAAATTAGATATGCATAATACTACACATGAAAATTATTTACTAAACACTTATGCTTAAAAATTCATTCAACATTACAAAGTCTACACATTGATTTTATGTTTTTATGTTTACATAGATGATCATTGATTAATGTTATTAATCCGGTATTGTAACATCTTATATATTACATATACAGTATATTGTTTGCACACATACCCGGTGTTGGCAAACAAATTGATAATCTGTAGCAAAATGTTTGGCGCTTTTGATGCGATTCCCAGATATGAGAGAAAGTTTGTCTTATAGTTATCAAGACTTGGCGTAGAGTTTGTGACATTCAGTTTGTAATCAACGAAATACTGGTTTAATAGAAATGTTTTAATTATTTATAAATAATTTTATCATTCATTAAGTTTTGATTTCAGTATTTTTGCAATTTTTAAATATTTTTTATGAAATTATTGTTTTTATCAGTAGTTTTCCAGGGAAAAACTTTTCCCAATAAAATGCCTATTTATTAAAATTTTAATCACTTCTATGATAGTTAATACCCAAAAATAATATTTATTTTGATAAATTATCTATTATAAAAAATAAATTAGTCATTTAATAAAAAGTAAAATATTTATTGATATTAACCATATTATTTGATATGATCAGTTAGCAACTAGTTGATTTAATAAAATATTTATTAATATAAATTAACTGAACATAAAGTAAAAAGTTGCATAAAATTTTGATTTTCACAAAAAATCTACCGAAAATTTAATGTTACACTAATAAAATTTAGCTATTAATTGCAGTACAATTAACAAGTAAATAGTACAGTACACAAATTAAAATAACTTAAAATGTACTCGATTATTTAAATGTCAATAGACTTACACTATCAGCATTGATGAGCATATTCCAGGGTAAAAGTGTGCCGATGCCATGAAATAACAATATAATAAACACTACGTTAAATCTATATTGTTAAATATAAATTCATTAATTATAGCACAAATTAATTAAATAATAAATATAAACAGTAACCTATCGTTGGGAGGCATTGTTGTTGACACCACTGTTGAGCCACGAGTTAATCAAAAACAAATATTAAACAACAATTACTTTATAAATCACATTAAATAAAAATAATTTTTACAATTATAACTAGTATTACACTAATTAATACATTAGAAAATTATTATATATACTGGCATTTCAATGGATAAATAGCTGAACACTAAATGCTGAGATAATTGTTGGCAAAATATCTATCGGATTATTACAATAATACGTTGGGTTTTACAAAGAGTGACTGATTAGCACCACTGACTGATAGCACATACCATCTCATCCGCAATGAGATAATTTGTGCGTTAATTAACTCATCGATAACTATATAAATATAAAATACATATTAAATATATAACACATAATAATAATAGCGTCAATTCAG